CGAAGCAGACAATCCCTTTAACCACGAGATGAGTTTGGGATGAACATAGCTCTTTTCCATTCAGTCAAAGCATCATCGGTGAGACTCTCTTTATGTGTATTATAGTGGACATATCATTCCCGCACAGCGCCGCAGGAAAAAACAACACGATTGCTGCATTTAACTTTCGCCATTTGCAATTGCACTCACATAGTCAGTCCTCATACGTGCTTGCATTCTATTCTCAAGAGCGGTTAGTGGTGTGAGCAATGAGAATAATTTTGTGTTCTTGTTGTTTGGGGTTTTGTTGTGTATCTGGGGCTTTGGCTTTCTGTGCTTCATAAAGCAGGTGAAGTGGAACACAAACGCACAAGTCAGTCGCCATTGCAGAGCCAGCCACTTGGCCTTTGCAAGCAAGCCATTGCGAAGCCAACCGCTGGCCTTTGCAAGCAAGCCATTGCGTGAGAGCGAAGCCCATTGCAAAACAAGGTAGCATCACCAAGCATCAAATTCCGCTGTAGCCAGCTTGTTAGGAAAGCAAACGCTACCTAAACACATCAGAAAACACAAGGGTGGCAGAATGTGACTTTGATTTCCTTGTCCGCCCGGAATTTTACCTATTTTGCTCATGCCACGCAGGCGGGGTGGGGAATGTTCAAAGTCACCCAAGCTCAAGGAACTTAGGGACCAGTGTCGAGGGGTCATCCATGTTTTTTTGGGGTCAAGAAAAGAAGCCATTTTGGGGGGGGGGCCCTCAAAACACCCGCAAGCCGCCGATTTTTCCAGCAAGCGTCGATTGCATCAATTGGACTTGAGTCGGAACTTGTACAAAACTTGCTTCTGTGATTCAAAGTCAAAGAGCAAAATAGATGCGGTCCAAGGACAAAGGGCAACGTTGTGTTCCAACACCCGGCACATCAGCTGCTCATTGGCACAGATGTCGAGCCCTGGCGTTTTCCAAACATAATAGTTGTACAGCCATAGCAGCACCGCAAAGGACAATTCATCCTCATCCAAAATGGAAAACCATTCTTCCGGTTCTCCCTTTTCAGAGTCTGGCTCATGGGTTTGGTACTCATAGGAATCCTCCGAGGTTGTAAATGAAGGCCAAACAACACCTCGATGCAAAGGCTGGTCCATTTGTTGGCAAACCGTGTTATTGCAGCCCAAGAGCCCATGCTTTCGGCCGACTTATTTGACATGGTGAGGATTTGCCAAAGGACTTGAGCCAGGAAACTCAGGCCAAGAGTCTGCATTGGGGCTCAACATCCTGCAACACATAGCTCCAATACACTTGAAATGCTGGTTGGATGGATCCCTTGCTATTGATCTTTCGGGCCAGCAACTTTTCCACTTTGCAGTCTGAAGCCTCTCACTAGGCTGCACTCGGTGCCAGGAGCCAGTTGGCAGGAAACCAGGGGGCCATGTTAATCGCAATAGTTTCTGGTTACTCACTTGCTTGGTTTGTCATGCTCACCATCATCATCGTCGATCATCAGTGTCATCAAAACCATCATCATCATCATCATCATTGCCATTATCGTCGTCATCATCATAGCCATTCTTACTGGCAGCATCGTCACCATCATCATCATCGTCCTCACCAACATTATCGGCATCATCATCCTTGCTATCATGGCCGTCATCATTGCCTCATCATCATCACCACCATCATCACCACCACCATCGTCATGTTCCATGGGCATCCTCATCATCATGATTAGTGTCATCGCGCGCGCCCCCACCATCGCCAGCATAATCATCATGGCATCATCATCATCGTCATCGTCGTCGTCGTCATCATCATCATCATCATCATCACGGCCGTCGCCATCAAAACCAGCGTCATCCTTGTCGACAGCGCCAGCAGCATCATCATCACCATACCCACCATCAACCTTATCACCGCGATCATCAGCACGACAACAACCAACGTTGAACTCATCCGCAACATATGATTCTAGTCATTCTTGATGTCACCACCGGCATCATCATCATCATCATCATCATCATCACTGAATCATCACTGAATCATCGCCATCATCATCATCATCACCAGCGCTACCCTCATCATCATCATCATCATCGTCATCATCTTCACGATCACCACCATCAGCGTTCCAACAACTGAAACCATCATCACCGCCGTCATCATCCTTGAGTCCATCGTCAACATCGTCATCGTCATCCTCACATCTTCTCCATCATCAGCAGCCGTGTCTTCATTATCATTGTTATCATCATTGCAACCTGCAACCATCATTGTCATCATCATTGTCCTCATCATCATTACCATCATCATCATCACCATCATCAACGTCATGAGCATTGTTCTCTTTCCCATGACCATCACCTTCATCATCCTGACTTTGTATCACTCTGTTGCCACAACTATGCCCTTTTTAATTGTTAGCTAATGTTTCCACGGAAATGTAGGAGGGTCACCAAAAGGGTTGTCTGAAGCACGGACAAGGGTCGCCAAAAGGGTCATTCTCCCAAGCACGGAAAAGGCTGTCTAAACTGGCTTTTTGGCCGCTGGCAACCCTGCTGCAAATCGCAAAACATTGCCGCTGGCGCGAAGCAATGCGTCAGGAATTCAGACCATCATCCAGGTCCTGGCAGTTTGGGCACCCTTTGTACTTTACAGGGGTGTTTTTGCCAAGTGTTCCCTATCGAGGTGAAACAAAGATAATCAAGCTTTAAAGGGTTTGGCAAGTGTCCCGCACCTTCACTCCATATCTGCAACTTCTTCATCGTGTTCAAGCGGTTCTTCCTCAAGATTCTCTTGGTTGGTGTCAGCTCCCTCCTCAGGAACAGAGGGGAAAACTGCAAGCTTCTTCTCCACGGCAGCGTTGACCATCGCGTCCTGCGCCCGCCCGCCAGGGTTGAACATGGGATTGGGAAGGCAATGCGGCGAGGTGAAAAACAGAGACAACTTGCAGCTTTGGCACCATGGCCATTTTGGCAGCGGCAACATCCCCGTTCAACTTGAACAGCTCGTCCCTCACAGAAACCTTTCATGACGAATTGAGGAAACTTGAGCACAGCATGCACTAGCAAAGAACTGTAGATTAGCGGCCGCTATGTCTTCCAGCACTTCATCGTCCAGCGCGGGCACAGGCTTGAGCTCAGCCGTTTGTGACCATGATCATGTGAAGTTTGCACGCGTCACCTGTGACAAGTTTGAATGCATCAAAGGCACGCGAAGCTTTTCCTGCCCATTGATTTTGAAACCCCAGATTCCAGTGTTCTTGTAGCGATACTTGTGGACACGAACCTTTGCAGGATCGGCCGAAGCTGGACGCTTCTTAGGCGCGGCAGGGGCGGGGTCTGCGCTGCCGGCCGCAGTTTTTTTTATGGGAGAGGGCTCGGTGTCTGGGTCAGGCTTGGTGCTTGCACTGGCAACCGCGGGCTTTTTCATGGGAGAGGTGTGTACCTCAGTTTCTGGGGCTGGGTCCGCGCTTGCGGCTGCAGGTCTTTTCATGGGACCGGTCTGTGTTTTTGCCTCACCTTTGGCTTTTGGCTTCGGCTTCGCCTTTGCTTTGCTCTTCGGGCTTTTTTTTGCAGACGCCGCTTTTGGCGATGGGGGGCCGGCTTGTTGGCCTCCGTCATCGCTCAGAGCATCCACGGGTTGGAGAGCCATGGCGCAAAGCCGCAGGTACCCCAACATGTAGCGACCAAATGATTTTGAGAAAAACAAAGCTTGCTGGCACGGCTACGGTGACAGGCGTTGCTGGTGCAGCCCAAGGTGTGCGCGGAGGCCCAGAACGGCACGCAAGTGGCAGTCCCTTTTCTGCGCAAACCACGGTGCGATGTTGCAGTGCACTAGTATGTCTCCCGGGGTGGCATTGTTGGTGGCATTGACTCACGAAACCATGAAACACACAATCAGTAGTTTATTGAACAGCTGGTGCTTCTTGATTGACTGTGGATCAGCCCTGCACGCCAGCCCCACTCGCAATAAGTGCCCAGCAGTGTCAAAAACGCAAGGGCTTGCTATGCCAGTTTGACTGCGTGGCCAGCTTCAATGGCCACTGTTGAAAGCAAAAAATACTTGGGCTTGATGGGAGTCAGGATTGCAGGCACCTCCTCGCCAATCTTCACCTGCCACAAAGATTTGATCAGCTTTGCTAATGATGGCAATTTGCTATGGGGCCCAACAACAAATGGTTTGAAGATTGGGGCCCAGGAAACAGACATTGTTTAGATGCCCAACTTCAAAACAACGATTTCGGCTACAAGGCCTCCCAAACAACCCCGCAGTTCTCACCCGATTTGAGCTTGTTCAATTTGCCACAGAACGCGGCCCCAAACATCGCGCTGCGAAGGGTGAGCTTGTCCTCGTTTTCCAACTCCTTCGGCTTGAAACAGTTCACCTTCGTGTTGGGTTCCAGTGTGTAGCGGTACTGAAGGACCTCCGTGGCTCCACCAGCTCCGGCCTGCAAAGAGACAGGAACAAAAGGATTATTTCTTTGAGAATTTGCTTGCAGTTAGGAACAAAAGCTTTAGTTTCACAATTTTCCATAACTGGTTGATGAGGTTGATGAAGTCAAACGATGATGGTTGAAGCTCCAACGGTCCTGGGTGCGTGGGCGAACACCGTGGTCAATGATTTTGACCTCTGTGACTCCCCGGTCACGGGTCACTTTGCACATCACATCGGCAAGGGTCATGAGTTCCTTACACGGTGGAAGGGTTGAAGGGAAATAGAACAAAAAGGGACTGTTGCATAGCTGGGTTTCCTTCTGGGTCGTCTCAGCGCCCACCAAGCACACCGGCGTCTTGTCCTCCTTCACCAGCCAAGGCACCAGATCGGCAGAGCCGGCAGCGCTTCCTGGTTGGACCGCTTTGGGCGCTGACGTGGGCGGGGTTTGGGGTTTGTATTTTTTTGCCAACCCTTTGAGCCATGTTCGCACTAAGCTAGTCGCGGAGAGGAAACCTCACAAAGCAGCTCAAGTTTCCATGGGGTTGCCAAAGGGCTCACGTTGGAGCACACCCAGAGTAACATCAGATGTGTCAATCTAAAAACAGGTTTTGACAAAAACTTGTCCTACCGCAACCTCGCTGAAGCCCCCGACATTGAACCCGAAGAGTTCTCCATGAGATAGGTCGACTCGCTGAGACCCACGGTTGATGAGCCACAAGTCGCCCCCGTTGCATAGCGCAACTTGAATGGTCGGCTCCCTGGCAAGCTTCGACGCGGCATCAATCCTCAGCACGGCACATGTGTGTCTCAAACGTTTGACAAGTCCGTTTGGTTTTCACTTGCTGTGGGAATTGCAAACAACACGGGTCGCAATATTCACAGGGCTGTTGTACGATGCTAGTTTCACGGTTTCCTTGGCCCTTACCTTCCAAAGAATGACACCCTACTTGGATCTAGGCACGTGTTGTTCCCCTCGAAGTCCTCCAACAACACGCCAGATGCGTTGAGCCGTTTCCTGAAGTTGAGCGGCCGCTCCCCCGCCCATTCAGGAGTGGCGTGGGTGCGGGCCGGACCTGTGTTGCCAGTGGTCGTGGAAGCAGGCGGGGATGTGCCGCCATGGTGGGATTTCAGGGCGGCAAGGAGGGTTGCCTCATTCAAAATGGCATCTTGTTTCTGCTTCAGCGCATCTGACTGGGTCGACTTGTACTTCTCGGCCACAAGATCGGGAATCCTTGTCAGTGGTAGGTGCAAGTGAGGTAGACATCAATTGGTTGATATCTTCGGGTTTGAGCAAACGATAGTGATAGTGCAGCTTTTGGTCGCTACAAGCTTCGCAAAACAGAAGTTTGTGGGCTTTATGATTCGGGGCAAGCAACTGAAGATCAGCCCCAGCCAAGGACAGCACTTCCAGGGTTGGTAGATCAGTCGCGAAAGGAGCCTGCGGTCTCGTGTTTGGCCCTGCATCATTGGTCTTGTCCCACCATTGGCTGAGCATTCGCCCAGCCACCAAATCACGGCAGGAAGACATGGTGGCATGGTCGTCACACAGCCAAACCCCAAAGTACCTGAACTCCAAGTTGGTTGCGTTGGTAGCCTCTGGGGCTGCTGAAGGGTCTTGCATCACGAATGCCCGCTGTAGATCCCACACTGCTGAGCTCCACTCCGAAAACCTGGAAAGCAGCATCAAACAAGGTAGGCTCAGACATGGATGGAGGGCAAACTACCAACGCTAACATGTACATTTCCAAACTTCAGCCTGTTGGGAAGCAAATCCACGACCAGAACTGGCTGCGGCTTTGTCTGGTCAACATTCTCCAAGAGCTGAAGCAGGATGTCCCTTGTTCCGGCAACTCCCCGTTGCTGGACCTTTGTGCACCCGTGGAAAAACACTATTTGCACGCCAGTTGTAGCACCACAAGATTGCGCCAATGCGCCAAGCCACACGAAAATGCGGGGCAAGTGGGCGGTCTGGATCTGGGTTCTGCAATTCAGAAACCCTTCCTCGCTGGATTGCCGAGATCGACCCGAGCAGCGCTTTGGACTTCCCGAAGGGCGAGGCACGGTGGTTTCCGCAAAGGGCTGCAAGGCCTTGGAATGCGTCGCGCTTTGTACTGAACCAAGAAAAGGATACCCCGACGCGACATGTTTCAAGCAAGATGGGATGACCCTTTGAACTGTGCGCTTTTTTTTTAACCAAGCAACACGACCCCCTAGCGGTGGACTACTTCTTGTTGACTACTCCTTTCTGTTGACAAGGTTCATTGCTGGGATTTTTTGCGGCGATCTCCTCCATGCGCACTGTCAGCAAAGTTGAGGGCAATCTCGCTCACGTCCAAAGCCCTGACACAAGTTAGCGGGGCCCCGGAAATTTGAGAATGGGGGCCACTTTCTTTTGAAAGTGATTGGACGCGGGGAACCTAGAAAATGCGTCACCCTTCAACGATCAAATCAAGGTAACGGGGCGTGTAAGGAACCCTTTTCTAACTTCTAATTCCTTTTTCTTTGGATGGCCCAATCCTTGCGCTGAGAGGGACCTCCTAAGTCTAAGGAGCACGCGTCTCTTTAACTTTGAGTGGGCTAAAAGGACCCTTGTGACACTCATCAAGTTTCCAAATCTGCTTTGAAAACATTGAGGTGTGTCGTGGGAGCTTGCAGTGTTTGAGGAAGCCCATGATCGGTCACCTTGTGAATCCAACCCTGTTGAAATCCAATTGAAGATCCTTGTGATGGTTCCTGCCTTTCCCGATCCTTCCTGGCTTTCCAATTTGCAAACTCATTGGATGACATTATGACATTGGACGAAACAAGATCCTTGCCAGGTTGACAGCCTCAGTATTTCAAAAAATCCCGTGGGGCAACCCCTGCAGCACAGCACGCCTAGGAATACTGAAACGTTGAAAAGTACACAAGGACTCTGGGCTAGGACGGTGCTCCATTTGACCTTTTCTTGAGCCACAGCCATTTGTTTTGGAGGACCCAACCCTACAATGGCTTTCCAGGAGGGTTGTGGGGCCGGAAGCTTTGGGGTGATCAAAGCTGACAGGTTCATCCAAGCTGCGAGACCAGCTTGTCTTCCAAGAGGCGGCGGTTTTTCAGGACAGTGCATTTGTTGGTCGATGAGTGCCACTGGGGTAAAAGCACAAATGCCATCGTGTTGGCGTTGCCGGAGGCAACTGCCTGAACCACCGAAACACTCTCATCGATTGACAAAGCGCCTCAGATGAACACTGCAATTGTCCACTGGTCATGGCAGCAGTTAATGGGGCAAGCTGCGGTTCGGCCACAAAGTTGCGTCCATCATCACGATGGTGAGCCTTGAAAGCAGCAAGTGCCAGTGTCCACTGCACGTGAAACACGTCTTGTCTAGCTTGGAGGCCCGGAGGCCCCCATATCCGCTTGCATCTGCACAATGTCTGGATGTGAGAGCATGATGTTGTCCAGGCTGACCAGCTTGTGGTGGGTGGTCATGAAGTTTTCAACGGCTTTCTTTCCGCGGTGGTATCTGTCATTCAAGTACTTGTAGTCCAAGGCGCCCTGAATCCAAGTTGGGCATACAAACGTGCCACACAAGGTTCAAACTAGCAAGGTGAGGCTTGCCTGTTGGCTTGCATGGAAGTTGTACGATGTGGCCCACTCATTCAACTTGGCAAGGTCAGCATCAATCTGCAACGAAGTTTGCTGCCATGTAGTCGCCAAGAGTTGGGCCGACAACCTGAGGAATGCATCTCAATTGTTTTGAGTTTGAGCTTTGCGTGAAATAGATGCAACCGCAGGACTCCGCAGCCCGATCCTGCTTCGCGCTCTCCGCCTGTGCCGGGGAGCTTTGTGGGAATGGCCGACTAGGGTGATGCAAATGCAGCTTTCAACCAACGGGATCCTTGCCTCAAGCCGATACTTTTGCAACGGGGTTGAAAAGATCGACACCTTGCCCAAATCCGCTGGCGGCACTGAGCCCTCCAGCAAACTCGCGAGATCTGAGTCCCCGTGTCGCCCAAAGAACCTTAGGGAGGTAGAGCGAGCTGGCGAAGTTGCAAAACACTTACAATCCATCTCTGTCGGGGACAAACCCTTAAGTGAGGCACGACTTGTTGATGTCCGACTCAACCTTGTCAGCAAACGCCTTTGGCACGGAAGAATGGAACTGCTCCCAGCAGGCAAGATAGGCGCCGCAGATTCGCTGAAGGCTCTCCTTGCTCAAGTGGATAGCTAACAGGGTGAGCAATGCAATGCAGAAGTGGGCAAGCCCTCTTACTTCTTCTTAGCTATTTGTTTGCAGAACAGGTAATGCGGCTAAATGTCCACTGCGGGGGCAGTCCACGGCTTTCGCATTTTGGGCGCCAAGGCTTGGTAGTCCGAATCCATTCTGGCCACCAGCAATTCCAACAACTTCTCAGTGTTGGTCAAGTTGTTGGACCATGGGGCAAGGGCTCCAGACGCGGTGCTGAACCCACTGTTCAGAAGCTTGACTGCCAGCGGCTCATGTGTTATGAACTTCGGCATCGTGTAGAGCCTGGTCGGGTTCGGCTGAACTTGGTTTCCAAATCATCACGAAGTCAGAGGACATGTCCTTCTTGGCCCAGCGGTTTTGCTATCTTAGGTGTTCATACCAAGAACTCAAGTTCCAAGGTATAAGTTCAAAGGGGTTCATCCCAAGCGCTTCTGAAGTGTTCATATGAAGGGTTCCCACCCAAGAGTTTACACCAGGGCTCACACATGATTCCAAAGCAAATCCAAGGGTTCATTCCAAGGGTTCATACTAAGAAAAGGGCTCAGATTTTTACAGGGAGCCTTTGACAAAAAGTCACACTTGTTTTCTTCGTGGGTCGTTGGAAGAAGGCAGAAGCAAACCGTGGCCTCACAAGGTCGGTCAAGCGGTTCTTGATAGGAGCTGGGATGTCACGCAATAAATGCACCGCCGCAGCCGACTCTTGCTTGCCTATGCTGTAGGCACTCGCAAACGAGGAGATGCTGTTGGCAGCCTGGCAGGACTAGGGAGCCTTGCGGGCCTTGAGTCAAACAGCGGGCAATGGATTGCAACACTATGGACGTTGTAGGAATTGGAAGAACCATCCTGCCTCCAAGGAAAGGACGGACCGTTCTGTTGACAAGCCGCCCCTCACCATGAACTCCAGCTGAAAGACCAAGTTAAAACAATTTGGCCGGCGTCTTGTGCTTGTGCTTCCCAGTGTGACTCCTGCAGACATGTGGTAACAAATAAGTTTTTTACTCGCTACCTTGTGCAATGTCAGTCAAGTCTTGAGACAGCCTCGGTTTGTGCTGACAACTTGAGACATGTCGGAGGGCACCACGGTGACGTAGATTGTGGAAAAAGTCCTCAATTAAGCATCCGATGTTCAGGAAACATTGACCGTGCGCTGCAACATGCTCAAGTTGAGCCAAGCGTCTTTTTTGCATGGTCTGGCAAAGCCTTGCAGATTGCCAAATTGCCAGGAGCATTGAGCTGGACAAGAAACGACTGGCCTCCAGAAGCTCTGGGAGCTCGAAGCAGGCCATCAGCACGCTGAGCATGCAGACTGATCGATTCCATCCCTTGACCATGAAAAAGGTACAAGGGCGGGCTAGCTCATCTGCTGCCGGGGGAAGGTCAAACGCAGGCCCCATAAGCCAACTTGGCTGAACTCCCGTGGCACATAGTTTCTCGGTCCCCGGTGTGTCGGGTGAGGACTGCATGCCGTTGAGCAGGATGAGCTGGCACAGGCTCCGTTGAACATCCTAGGTGTCAAGTACCCGCGTTTTTAGGCTTAGGGAGTCAAAACATATATGCTGAGACACGTTGTCGGCTGTCCCCCTCAACCCGTAGTCGTTCCTGAAAGGGAGTTGCCAGGGTCGCAGCTGCACGGCCCCAGTGCGGTTGACATCCGCCGGCTGGGCATAGATCGTAAGAGTTCAAAAGAGACTTTGCAAACAAAAGCAACTAACTATCTCGGCATGGCACACGTTGCTCTCGGCTGGAAACGTGTTTTCGATCCAGGTGAAGAACTCGACTGCTCGCTCCTGGCGAGAGGTAAGAATTAGGGGCTGGCGCAATTCTTGCATGTGAACAGTGGCAATGTTCTCCGGCCTGATGGGTCAGCTTGTCAGTAAGATAGGTGTCGAGGCATACCCCCTTGTTGAAAATAGTCGCATCCCTTGGATGGCAAATTTGGAACAATGTTGTTCATCATCAGTTTCTGCTGCAAAGGTGCATCCATTGTTCAAACAGTTTCAAGTGGGGCATCGCTAAAGCATCCGCGGGGATGTTGAGCACATCCTTCTTGGCAGATTTGCTTTGCCTCCCCCCCCCTTCGGAGGTTCTCCGCTTCGAGCCCTTCGGAGGCATGTCGGCCGGTGGCCAAACCTGGCGCGGGCTGTCGGATGGTGTGGTCTTTGAAAATGCCCCCCCGCAAACCAATCAGTTTCATGTTCATCGGTTTTGCTGGGAAAGAGGGGTTGCAAACAGAACGAAGGTTCCAGGCATTGTGTGTGGGATGTTGTGCTGTTCAGCTGAATTAAAACTAAAAGAATTGTGCGTTGAGGTTTGGCACCAAGGATGCAAAAGTTGTAGGAAGACCGCCCCAGTAAATCTGAGTTCAATCAACCAATGAAAGGATTTGATTGGTTGAGGGGAAGGGGGAGGGAGGGGGGTGGGGGGGGGGGGGTTGGGGGGGTGGAGGGCATAAGACAATGGGGTTTGTGCCGAGCTTTTTGGGACCGGCGTTGGTTTGTGCCGAGCTAGGCGGTAGACTGTTGGGGTTTGTGCCGAGTTGGAGGGTGCCAAACCGCAAATTGTGCCGAGAAACGATCGAGCTACTCACAAAACAATTGGTGCTCAATGAAAAGATTCCCCAAACTGGCACACAAATGGGTGGATGTCATGCACACAATGGGGTTCTTCTTCCAGGCAGTGAGTGCCTAATAAGCACAACCTGGGTAATGTGAATGCATCCCTGGTTTGTGCCGCGCAACGCCCTCGCTAAGCACAAAGGGTACCCCAGCAATCGGTTTTCCAGTTTTCCAAAAATGTTCTGAGTGGAAACGTTGCAATTGCTCCCTGGGGCCTAGGTTTTCTGCCGGACAACGGCCTTGCTAAGCACAACCAACGGACATTCTGGAATCAACCACTTTGTGCCGACATGCCGGCTCACAATGATGAAGTGTGTGGAGGGGCAACCCCAGAAACAGCATTTACCTGTGAGCAAGAGAGCTGTCATTTGTGGTGAACCCCGACCTAATCAAGATTTGCAACTGCAAACCTGCACAAATCCTAGCCAACAGTTGCATGCTTCTTCACAATACGCCGTTGACATTGGGCTGAATCCTCACAAAGAATGAACAGGGTTGTGTCACACAGCGCAACTGAGACATCAAGCATCAACTGTTGGCTCAAAACTCGCGGCATCCAGATGTCCCCGCTGGATGATTTCCCAGAAGCAGCGATGGCTATCTCCTTTCAGTGACAGCCATCGCTTCAGAAACAATCTCCAGGGCGCGGGCCATAGGCACGCCCTGGGCCCAAAGCCGCGCAGCAGCGTTGTACAGCGCTTGGTCGCTCCGAGCCCTGCGAAAGCGGAATGCTTCGTCGCCGACAGGCCGCTCCGCCAGCAAGCGCAAGGGATTTGGCGCCTAAGGTGGTTGGCAAGCCAAGGGCTGCGAGCAAATTGGCGCTCTGAGCCCGAGACGGCTTCCAAATTCTGCGCGACCGCCAATGGAAGCGCTCTTGCCCCTGGGCCAACAGCTGGCCCTCGATGGGGAAGAGCCCTGCCCAGAAACACGCGTGCAGAGCAAGTGCAAAGACTGGAAAGCTGAGGCCCAGGCCAAGCAACGTCGAGCAATGGCTGGTGCTGCGGGGTCCCATTAGCAAGGTTTTGGACTTCGATGGCCGCTGCGTCCATGCAGAAAGGTTCCTCACCTGACATATCGAGCACAACGAGCGCACAATGCCCAAAGGATGAGAGCCCGGCAAAGCAACTTGGCGTACTTGCGCAGGTGCTTGCTCTCGTCAGACTCAATGTTGACGGGCTTTTCGGTGAAGACTGCAATCGCGCGCTGGGGCCACGCAAGCTAAGAAGCTAAAACACGTGCAAAAACAGGCGCTCGCCTGGCGGACACTGTGCGGCAGCCATCTCGGCGGCCGCCTGCGCTGGCATGTAGAGAAACTTCATGGGCTGCCAATTCTCATCGCTCATGAACTGTTTGGTCCTGACGTGTGTAAAAAGCACGAAAAGCAGAACAAAGGATGCAGCGCCGCTCCTTAGAACGACATCGGAAGGACTGTGAGGTGCGGCGCGGCGGCGCCAGAACCTATCGTCCAAGTCATCTCGATGAAGTCCTGGCGCGAGTGCAGCGGAGACGCAAGCGCTCAGCACGGGCCCTCGCAGTCCTGTGTCGCTGAAACGCTCCAAAGAGAAGACATGCGGTGCGCCAGGACCGCCGATGCCTTTGACATGAGCGTTGCTGCTGTAGAGGGCCAGGAAGTGCTTCCTACAACAGGTTAAATCCAACAGAAAGCGGCTACAGAGTTCGGAAGGAAAGCACAGAAAGGGCTGCCAAGTTTCCAGTCGCGGAACTGCGTGACAAGAGCCACTTTGCGCAGCGGCTCATGAGGCCTGTGGGAAGGCAGCTGAAAGAAATCTTCAAGGCACCCGCGGAAAGCAGTGGAAGTCCATAGTTCAGGATATCTCTGGAGCCACAGCCGAAGCGTTGCAAAAAAGGCATCTATGTCCTCGTGCGAGTGGCCAGATGATAGGAACGAGAGTTGGCACCCTTTCAGGCGGTGAAGTGCCACCATGGACGCGGCCAGGCGCAGCATCGTGTTGTTTTTCAACTCACGAGAGCAGTTGTCAGCTTGCAAATGCAGGAAGCACTGCCTCAAGTCGATGCCTTTTCGCTGGAGCAACGTCATGCCGTGGGCTATAATCTCAGCTGTCCGTGAGGAATTGCTGGACACTCCTTCGGGAGAGAGAGCAACAAGGGCAACGTGTCCGTGGATGAGCAGCGTTGTGCTAGTCAAACGGGGCCGCGCCCAATTTGCAAACTCTTTGGAGCACATACTGTGGCTGCGAGGATACGCGTGCTTAGCGGCGTCCATGGAGTCGATGATGCACGTGATAAAGCAGGGCATTGGGTTCACGCTGTCTAACCGGGAGCGTGCCCGGGCAAACCAATACACTTGCCGGTCACGATGCTGCCGGGAGAGGTGCTTCTGCAGTTCGAGCACTTGCGCTCGCCTGGCTGGTCCGCAGTGGCCCAAACGCTTTATGATGAGGCGGTGCCGAATGCACTGGCTGCATTTGGCATGGTGTGACCAAGAGCGGATGCGGAGCTTATCTTTGAAGTCTTCTTGCCATACCTCGGCCAATGGGCACACCGCGCTCGATGAGTAGGGAAAGAAAACGTCCACCCCAGCCCTTGAGGTGGACGTTTGTTTTTGGAACCCAAATGCTGTTGGAGGGATAGGGATGAGTGGGGAAAGAAAACGTCCACCCCAGCCCTTGAGGTGGACGTTTGTTTTTGGAACCCAAATGCTGTTGGAGGGATAGGGATGAGTGGGGAAAGAAAACGTCCACCCCAGCCCTTGAGGTGGACGGTTGTTTGTGGAACCAACTGGCCCAAGACTTCAAAACCGAAAACTAGAGAAGCGATGCCAGGTAGTGGCAAGTGACTGAGCAAAACAACTTTCTGGAAATGCTGGCATCAGGCATGCTGGACTGGCACAGGCGATGGTAGTCATTGAATGTTCCAGGCGGCAAATGCTTGATTTCGGATCTGACCATTCTGGGCGGGTCAATCTTGTGCTCGCCTTGTCGCGGGCGCTTGTTGGAGTTCAGACCGTCCGGGATGGGCTCAGCTGACTCCATGTAGAGCTGTGTCAAAAATTGGTACACCCTACTTCGTTTTTCTGAAGCAGGCTGGGGACCCCTCTGAACATACCGCCCGTCGAAAGGGCAAGTGTCAACACCTTTGGCCACAGCCACCCGAAGCTTTCTGAAACGGCCTTTTCCAAGCCCAAGAAGCTTCATGAAGCCACGGTTGCACACTTGGTGGCCATCAAGTTGCAAATGCCGCTCGCCTGGGCAGGTGTCTGGAGACTGCGCGCGAAGGAGATGGAAGACCTGAGCGAGGCAAGCCACCAGTGTTTGCGTGTGAGCTTGTGTGGGCCCCTGGCATGTTGGTCACTCTCCAGCTTGGTCATCTTTCGAAGGAGAACCCGGAGTTTGAACAAAGTGTCAAAGAGCGCCACGTTGCTGCGCCAAGGAGTAAAACATCCAATTTTGCAACCGCACTTGGACTCGATCAAGCTGCGCAGCGACTTCCTTTCAAAAGGGCCAGCAACAACAAGTTTGCGTCTCTGCTTGGCGCGACGGGCCAGGCGTTGAGCTTTGCCACAGGCAGCGGCAGGGGCCCCGTCTTTGACGGGTTGCTCGTCGTCGCTGAGGGAAACAACGTGCCCAAGGGTCATCCTGCAGCCACGACTTAAAACCCTATTGAACTAACATTGTTGCTTGGCAGGGGGCTGTGCGACGGAACAAGTTCCCATTAAATGAGGCCACACCCCGACAGTGGTTTTGGCTACACAGCCCCTGAATGTTGTCCTG